AAACTTCCTACAGCAGTTCATTTCTGAGTAATTCATGATAAGTACCTTATTTTATTTCTGAAAAATAAAAATTCTTTACATCAATTTGTCATATATGGGGAGATTACTTCATTTGGAGGCTTTAAGGTGTATCATGTATTCTATTGTTACCTAGTGTTCACCTTTTCATGTTAGAAAATGGAGCTGCTGACAGTGCTATGTACACATAAACGTAAGCAGGTGAAAGACTATTTCTAAAGTAGATTTCCTTGTACATCTAATAAGAAAACCTGAGCTTTGATTTTTTTTATCACTACCATTATTGCTACTCTTGTTACTGCTGAGTTTATTGAATACTTGTAGATCTAGTATCATTCTAGGTACTTTAGATATATTTACACATTGAATTCTCGTGGCAACTTACTGAATATGTACTCTAACCATCCCCATTTAACAGACAAGAAAATATATACACAAAGGTTAAATAATGCTCCTAGGGATAATATAGAGCTAGTAAGTGGCAAAACCAAAGTCCCATTTTGTTTAGTCCATTTTGTTTAGTGCTTCTGATATTCTACAGTACTGCTTCCTATTCTTAGTCCACTACACTGGCCACGTGTAACAGTGCTCTGTATTGCTTATTTCCTAAATAGGAAAATAGAGGTTTACACAGTTGGAGACAATAAAGAATTGCATAAAACCCCAGTAGTATGAGTATAATGTGAATTTCAATGAACTCTTCTTGACCTATGAAATTGAACATCAGGAGTTGATTTCATATGAAATATCAATAGTATGAAGTATTGCCTATTGGGTAAAATTTTAAAGAACATATTAGAGAAAAGCAGTTATTTAACTCTCGCACTCAACTCACATGCCCAGTAGGAATGTGTGTATGAGCTGCCATGTAGCTAAAATACAATGATGTGATTATTTAGTTATTTGGAGAATCTGAATTATTGGTTCATGAATTTCCTTTTAGTAAACTTAAAATGACCATGTATAATGTAGAGGTTAGTATCATGTTTTTAAATTGTTTAGAGCAGAAAGCAAATATTAGGAAGTCAGACATATCTAAAAATAAAATTATGTCAACAAATCAATTTTTTTAAGAAAACATGATTTGTCTATTTGTTAGTCTTACAGATCATGGAAACTATGTACTTCTGAAGTGTTTTAATAAATAAGAGCTGGAGAGTATAAGCCCAAAGTAACATTAAGATACAGGATTTTAAGAATAAAACTACTCTACATAGTTAAGTGAATTTACCCATGCTGTTGCAAACATTTGTACATAAAGACTGTGACTATCAGTCACAGTAGCAATCCCATAAAGGAGTAACAATCACCACAGCAACCACTCAACTATGAATTTTTTTTTCAGTATAGAGATTTGAACCCAGGACCTCATGAGCTATACCATAACTTTTTTTTTTTTTTTTTAATTGAAGTTTTACTAAATTTCCCAGACTGGCCTTGAACTTGCAGTCATCATCAGGCTCCTGAGTAGCTGGGACTGCATATATGTACTATCATGCTAGGCTATGTCTACTCACTTTATTGTGAATCAGGAAAGTGTTTTATGTACATTATTTCATTTAATCCTTACAACAGTCCAGTGAAATCACTTTTATTATTTTCACCTCTATAAATGAAAAAGCTGATAAAAAGAGAGAAATAATTATGTGCACAAAGTTACATAAGTAGCAAGTATCATTTATTCAATGTTTATTGAGTAGATCTTCCATAGCCTAGGCACCGTTGTAGTCTTGACACCATTCTAAACAGTATGGAATTAGCAAGGACTGAGACAAACTCCCAGCCTTCATCAAAGAACCTCCAAGAGGGAAATAAACAAAAGCAAACAGTATGGAAACATTAAGTCCAGCAATCATAAGCATTGTGTCGCATTGTGTCGAGCAGTAGAGGCATGTAAGCAGGTAAGAGAGTGCTAGAAGAAGGTCCTGGGGTGGGTTTTGTCACTCCTTTATACAGGACAATGGGGACCTCTTTGATAACATGATATTTCTGCAGATACTTTGGGGTAGAGAGTGCTTGTAAGAAAATGTTCCTGGCAAAGAGGGAAAAGAGGTCCTTGTGCTTGTGAGGATGATCTAAGAGGTCATATATTTGAAGTGAGTAAAGGGGAGCGTGGTTTCACTTTGAACCCAGATTTCTCTGACTCTTGGCCTCATGTTTTAGTTTTTGTATTCATATAATGGAGCAAATACTGTACAGTATTACCTAACCCCTTCTCTCATCCTGGAGATGTACTGCATTAGTGAGATACATACTCTCATTGAAAGGACGAGGTTAATGATGTTTTACTCTGGAGGCTCAGCGGTGAGACTGAGAAATCCCTGTGATGTGGGGATAAATAAAAAGTAGCATAGGATTACTGACCATAAGTTTGATAAGCTGGAAGAGTAACTTCCTATTCAGAATTCTTCAGTGCTCCTCTATTGCTTGCTGGGCTTTAGAGAAACTGGTTTTCTGAAAACCCCATAGCATTACCTAACACCTGCTATTATCTTGGATACATACTATATTTGTGAGATACATATTCACATGGGAAGGAAAAAATTAGTCATGTTCTACTCTTGAGGCGCAGTGTTGATACTACTTTTGAATTACTATAAAGACAATGTTCATAAATGCTAAATTATGCTGCTCTTCTCAATGTGAAATCAGTTACAAACTTTTTGGCATCCTGTCGTTTCAGAGTAAAGTGTACAAGATGCAGCAAAGAATGCAGGGACTTCACAGTGTGTCTCCTACCTTTTCTTTGTCTTTCTGCCCTTTCCCTGAATCTTAGCAGGGGCCAAAAGAGCTCTAGGTGTCATATATCGAGGACTTTGCACATTCTGAAATGTCCTTTTTTCCTTTTGTTTTGTGACTGAGATTTTATGTTTTTCTTGAGGCCTTTCTTTACCATTTTCTTTCTTTGACTGCTTTTGGAGCTCATGTTTCTTTGTCATTGTTCATCATTCCCAGTAGAAATCTTTCCCTCAGTCCCTGTTCAACCGGACAGCATTGAAATTGCATAAAAATCTATGCAGTCATCTGAAATAGCTTTTATCACACTTCATTTGTAATTTCTTTGCTTTCATGGCTGCCTCTTATTTCAGAGCATAAATCATTAAAGCTTATTTTTATCTATATTCCAACCAACTATAGAGCTTGGCATATATCAGTGGTGGCGAGCCTTTTAGAGGTGAGTGCCTAAATACAACCAAAACCCACTTGTTTATCGCAAAGTGGCACCACTGCAGTTAAACCTTAAATGAGGTTTTAGTTTAGCAAAACAACTTATACATCCACATATTTCATCTTTAGAGAAAAACAGATAACACATGTGCTGTAGGTTTGCCACTATTGGCTTAAGTGGTAGTTTAATCTGTTCCCTTAAACTTAAGAGTAATAGATGCAATAATTGTACACATCAGGGTATTCTAAAGCAAAACAACTGATGAATATGTATACAGTATACAAAAGAGGATTTATTAGATTGGTTCACATAATGAGGGTATGGACAGTCCCATTGTGTCTGTCTGCAAGTTGGAGGAGCAGGAAAACTAGTAGCTGCTCGTTTCAAGAAACTGGGAGTTTCAGAACAAGTAGGACCAATCTGCAGCCCCAATCCAAGGCTGCAGCTCCCTGCAGAGTTACTGGTGCGAATGTGTTTTCAGGAACTAAAGAAGCTAGAGTGTGATGTCTGTGGATGATACAGCAGCAGAAAAATGTACCTGCCAAAGCAGAATCAACCGTGCACGTGTTCCTCCTTTCACGTTTTCTTCCATCAGAGCTGCTCAGCGTGGGTCTCCCCACCAGCTGGCTGACCTACATGCCAGGGGTGGGTACATCCTCAGAGACACCCCGTAGGGGTGTCGTGCCACTTTTCTAGTCATCTCCCACACCAGTGATGACTGTTTTCATCACATGTTGAAGTGATAGTTTACTATAGAAAATAGATGGTAATAAAACAACTACTATTTAATGAATGATTGTTTCGTGCCAGACATTAAACTCAGTGCTAAAATACAAAATTTCATTACTCTAGATCAAATTCAATCTTGAAAGGTGTGTCTTATTAAGTATAATTTTAAAGCTAAATTAATATCTTAGTAGATCTAACTCCCAAGCAAAATTTTAAAGATGCATTCATTTTCAAATTATTACTTACTGAATATTGGGAGGGTCAGTGGGGCTTTAAGAAGAGGAAGAAGTCCTTGGAAAGAGACAGAACTCATCTTTGTTTATTTATGTGCAGTTTTGAAAATGTTACTACAAATGTGTATACTTGGCTACATGGCAGAGATCTTCCGGAAAGAACACTGTACTCATTTATAATTTGGACAAGTCATTTTGGGTGAGACAGAGAGCTATTGGAAAGTGAGCCCAGATGAGACCCTAAGAAATGCAGTGCCTTGGGGCTGTTATCAATGATTAATTGTAAAGGCTTCTGTAAGGTCCATCCTGCCAATCTAAGGTCCAAAGTGGAATACTTCAGACCATGGTTACTTAGTGTCAGCCTGACTTTCATTCAGAAGGAAAGCCTACTAATTAGCAAGTCTGTTGAGTACGTTTTTAAAATAGCAGTTCTCATTGCTGATTGTTTTTCATTTCTCTGATAAATATATTATCTCAAATTGATATATTTTGTTTACATGCTCTGATAAGTAATTCTAATTATACACTTAATTTTGCCTTTGTGGCATTTGTTATCCTAGAAATGTTAAATTGTACTCTTAAGTAATTTTAAGTGAAAAATCTTTAAAAAAATTTACCATATAGTTTTACCACATAAAGTAGCATAGGATAGCCTTTCTTCCTTTTTTGTCTTGATTTTGTCTCCTTAATTTAATTGTGTCAATTAAATAAATTCGATATTCTTTACTGAATTCTACTACTTGGAGTCTATCAGGAGGAAAGACCATGTTAATACTCAAAAATTCTATTTACAGTTTTCCCTTTAAGCCCTTTGACTTTCCAGTAAAGCTCTCTTTGTGGTTCCATTGCAGTGATTCAGCAGCCAGAGCCCTGTGGGAAGCCTTGCTGAACACCAAGCACAAAGAGGCAGTGATGGAGGTTCGGAGACATCTAGTGGAAGCAGCCAGCAGAGAAAACCTGCCAATCAAGATGAGTGTGGGTAAGCCCAGCCCTTTCACTGCTGGGGCAGCCGCAGCCTCTGAGGGAGTTCATTTAAGCTTGCTCTGAGCTGTGGGCAAACGGAAGTGACATGGAATAAAAGAAAAACTATCAAAAAAACTCATGAACTGTGAGAGTGTGTACACACTGCCTTTGGGCACAGCAGTGACCACTTCCTTGAACTCAGTTTGAACAAGAATGCTTTTATAAAGTTCTTAATCTAGAGCTATTCAAATTGACTTTTTGTTTTGTTTTGTTTTGGTTTTGGATTTGGTTTTTTGAGACAGGGTCTCCCTATATATAGCCCAGGCTAGCCTTGAACTCACTGTTTCCCAGGCTGACTCAGACTCACAGCAGTCCCCTGCTTTTACCTCTCAGAGCCCCACCATGCCCAGTTTGAAATCTATCTGGACCACCTCCCTTCATGCCAGTCTACTGCTACTCCCTTTCCCCGTCTTTGTTCTGCTAGATAAAAGTGCTTCTGTTGGCTTTGAATTATGAATGAACTATAGTATGGGAAAACAATTGAGCATATAGATTTGCCCTGGCCTAGCCCTGCACTTTTAAGAGTGGTCTAAAAATTCTCTAGTCACATGAGTATTATTGCTTCTTTTCCAGAAAAACATAACTCATTTTTCTAATTTTATTTTATTTTTTTTGCATTCAACTTTATCTTTGGTATTAGAAGCATATGTGTGCACTGCAATTTGCTCTTTTTTTTTGCTTTTGATTAAAAGGTAAGAGAACCGCAGAACTAATGTTTTGACTTTAGGAAAGAAATTTAACTTTTTGTTTTTTGTTTCTAAAATATATTAAATAATTTGAAGATGGGAATATTTAAATGTGAATATTAAACCTGGCTAACAGGTAGAATTTTATTTCTGGAAATTTGCAAAAATTTATTTCTCCATTTTAATAAGATTTTTCTCGTCTTCTCATTAGTATCTACTACTAAATATAAGTACATTTTAATAAATAGGAAATTTTTTTCTAGTGAGAGTCATATATCTCAAGTTCTTGATCAGTTATGGGTGCAAAAATAAAACTATCAAGTTGAAATGAAACAGAACACTGAAAGTAAAATAATGTGGATGAACCTAGGAGGAAAAGTGAAAATCATAACGTGAGAAAATAATTGTGCGATTTAGAGTGTTACGTGACTATAGATGAGAGCTTTAAGGAGCATAATGATGATAAGAACAGTAAAAACTAACTAGACTTTGAATACTTACAAAGTGCCAGGTATTTTACCACTTTATACACATTATTTTATTTGATTATTGTAGTAATTCTGTGCGATAGGAGGCATTAATGTATTCCATTATTCAGATAAGGAACTGAATCAGACAAAAATTAAATACATTTCCTAGGGCCATACCTTGATAACAGTAGAACTGGATTTCAAATGCAAATATTCTAATGCCAGAGAATGTACATCATTTAAGAAATCATGCCAGTGCAGTTCTGCATGGTTCTTTAGAGTACAAATAAAATTGCTGCTATGGAACTGTGTTAGCTTTCCATTATTGGAAGAAAATTCCATTATTGTGTGAAAATCAACTTAAAGGAGGAAAGATTTATTCTGGCTCATAGTTTGAGAGGTTTCTGTCCGTTGTGACTTGGTGAAGGTATTTCTGCACCTATTGTGAAGCAGAACATGAGGTTGGAGAGTGTGCAGTGGAACAGAGTGGTTCACCTCCTGACGGTAGGCGGATTAGGAGTGAGAAAGAGGAAGAAGGAGAGGAGGGGCAAGGGAAGCTAAAGCTGTAAAGGGCACCTCTACAGCGACCTGCTTCCTCTGACTACACCCGGCCTCCCGAGGTTTCCACCACCTCCTGGGAGCGTCATCAGCTGCTGCCGACCAAGCTGTAGCGCCAGTCTTTGGGGGCCATTTCATATCCCTCCCATGACAGAAACGGTTCCCGCACTCGGCTGTTGATTCTAGAAGTTCTTTCCTTTTTCCATCCCTTTCTTTTTTTCTTGCTTCCTTCCCTTCTTCTCTTTTCCATCTGTTCCTTTCTTTCTCCTCCCTTCTTTTTGTTTCTACTGTTCTATGTTACTCACAAGTATGTTTACCTTACAAAGTTCCTCCTTCATAAATAAAAACTAATTCATATCATGAATCAAGAAAAGTAGGAACCCACCAAAGATCTCGAAGAAAAGGTTAACTTATGTGTTCGGATATAACCTTAGGATGCTGTCACAAAGCACAAATTAATTTTTATTGTTCAATGCAAGATTCTTAAAAGATTAACAAACTTTAATTTTCTAAACTGCTGTATCTTTTAAAAATAATAAGAGCCACTTTTTAAATAGACAATTACCTTCACAAGGAATTCAAATTTAAATGTTTGCGTTTCCTTTCCAAAAGAAAATAGTTAAACAAAATGGTTTGCTTTATCTCAAAAATCCTTACATAATGTGTGTAGGTGGTTGGCAGATGACTGTCGGGATGATTGGCTCCCATTCTATCTTTATGCCAACTACAGTAGACTAAAAAATGCAACCCTATGATTACTCGTGTATCTTTCATATCCTTATCCAGAATTTCTTGTGTGGCTCATTTCTGTACACAAAAAGATACATAATCATGAAGAGTAAGAAAGAGAGCTGAAAATTTTAAACATTGTTTTGTAATACATTGTTTTGTGTCATATAGATTATCATTTAAAAATCATTCTCTGGTCTCCTAAATGCTGGGATGCTTTTTCTAGCAGTGTTTAAATATATGAAATGTACTTTAAACTATGTACTGTTTCCCTAGTCCTTACTGCAAGTTTTATAAAAGTATACATTTTCTGACTGTGAGAAAGGCTTCTGGTATTTTTGAGACATTAAACAGATTTTAATTCTACACTGAGGATTCTCTTGTGTTTAAATTCAGTGATTCTATGATTGAAATGTCAGATTTTAAATATAAAACTACTCAGCACAAAGTAAATTCTTATTAAAGCATTATGAGTACCAAAAGAAACAGACAGTATTCTCTTAAATGATAAATTTTAATTGCTAAAACACACAAAAAATTCATTTTATCATTGGATGTATAAACATATGCAATCTTTCTGAGAGCTTGTTATTAAATTGTCAGTTAAGTAGATATGTTCCAGAAAAGTGATTTGAAAACACTGACAGTGAATTGTATTTTTCCCATTGGCATTCAAAATGAAAAATGTAGTCTGAAAGTAAAAAATAAATAGTCTCCAGGAAATCCATTTGTTTGAGTCCAAAATGGAACCTCAGAGAAGAAATGAAGAAAGATGCCCATCTCAAAGTATGGTGTATGTTAGAGAAACTTTCTCTGGAGTACTGTGGTGGTTAAAGGGCCTTCGATGGTTTGAAGTGTAGCGTTTAGCAGAAGGGACAGTGTTTAATTTGTTACAAGAAGTCCTATTAGAGTTGAAGAGAAACAGATCTCTTTATCAGACTGTCTCTTCTTTGTAGACTATTTCTTAAAAGTTTTTTGTGCTTGATGGCTCTAGCTCTTTATTATTTTATTGTCTGTTAATCTAGTGTAGTCTGGTGCTAATACATTTTTATTGAAAAGTCTCCAGAGTACTAAATATAAGGACATTTTTCTTGGTGATAATCCTTCTTGACTGCTTTGCAGTAGCCACTTTTACACTATGACTTTTTCCTTGTATGTCTTCGATTGCATAATGTTAGGTTTCCCTGTTTTGATGTTGCACGCTGTCAGTTATACCTAGCAGTTAATCACAGTTCTACTACTGATTAGCCAAACTTCAGATTGTTTATTCATAAAAATGGGAAAGTATCTATTTTCTGGATTTTGAAGGTGATGAAAGCTTTGAGGAATGAGAAATTTATGACTTTGAAACAAATTGGAATTCATATGTTGTGATTATATTCTCTATGAGAAAATTTTTTGGGGAAACCAAATTACAATAAGGTTCCTTGATTAAAGTGATATCAATATAAACACATCACGTTCCGTTTTTCCCCACTTCTGGAGAATGAATTCATTCATTCATTCCACTTTTCTTTTTGTAGGACTTATATGAAGTATCCACCTTCTAATAATACAGTCTTTCTTTATGTAGACTGTTAAATAGTTTTCCCTACTTGTAGTATAGTTGAGATTACATTCAATTAATTGCCTTTTCCCAATTATGTTTATGTTTTTTTTTTTTTTTTGGTAAATGGTTTTTTTAAAGAGAAAAAGTAATGATACAGAATTTCACAAGATAATAGGAGGGTACCAATGATCAATATATTACCTATTATCTTCTAAGTAGTTGCTCAGATCACAAAATATGGACATGAAAAATTGATCAAAATTTGATCAAACATTTCTTTCTAATGAACTAAGAAAAATTAGTAGAACTACTTAGTTCTAATGAACTAAGAAAAATTATCTTACCTTGTATATATATTTTTATTTTTCTTTTCCCTTCCTTCTTTTCTCCTTTCCCCCATCCCAGTGTCTTTTTCTGTTAGAACAGTTTCTTCACATTTCCTAATATCTATTGTACATTTTAGATCTTATTTAATATTTGAACTTCTCACAGTAGGGAAACAATACTTATTTACAAATGGAGGACTGATTTATTTCACTTATGAGTGTGGTCTCAAGTGTTACTCATTTGCCTATAAAAGTATCAAGTTTATCTTTATGGCTGAGTAGTACTCCATTGTATAAAAATACCATATCATTTTAATCCATTCCTCAGTCGATGGACATCTGACTTGTTTCCAAGATTTAGCTGTTACAAATTGTGCTACTATAAACATTGGTACACTTATGTTTTTGTTTCTTGTGGGTAGTTGCCCAGAAGGCAAATAGCTGGTTGAAAGGGACTACTAATCCTAGTTTTTTGAAGACTCTCCACAATGTTTTCCACAGTGGTTGCATATGTCTGTACCCCTACCAACAGAGAAGAAGGTCTCCTTTCTCCCCATAGCTCCACCAGTATTTGTTATTGATTTTTCAATAGTAGCCATTGTTTCTGAAGTGAGGTGGAATCTTAATGTTGTTTTAAT